CCCCCCCCCCCACACACACACACCTTAGGTGGCGAAAAGTGTAGGGACACTCCTATAAGATAACACATTTTTTAAACTTCAGTCCCACTTTACTTGTGCATCTGTTTGGAGTGGAAATTCCACCACATCTTAACCTGCCTGGCGGTCTGATTTTTTTCCTTTTTTCGTTCTATTTGTTTTTGGGGTTTGTTCGGTTTTTTAAACTTTTAAATCTCCCGCCGGTTCCGCCCCCCTGCGACGCGGACGCTTGCAAGGGACGGAACCCGAAAGGACAAAGCGCGGCTCGAGGGACAAGGTAAGAGACGCGCAGTGTATTCCCGAGTTTGGCTCGGAGTTACCGCTTATGGTACAGAAAATTAACCCCCGAGCCACACTCGGGAATACCGCCATGGAGGTTAATTAAAATCTGCCCCATCGCCAATGTAATTTTATCAGTTGGCTGCCCAGGACTGCAGGCGCGGGGGTCCCCAAGATGCAGAAAAACTGTCACATAGACTTTGCAGCCCGATTCGCCTCTAATTTTGTCACCCATTAGCTTGATAAACGTCCCTCAATGTTTTCATGGAATAAACACGGCTACATTACCTGCAAAGACGGGGGAAAATAAGGACGCAGCACCTAAAGACAAGGAAACACAGACATATTTGGATTAATAAGCGGGACCGGGCTTTGTATATAATGTTTATTTTTTACATCAATGATAACAATTTATAAACAAATACAGTTATACAAACACATTGTACTTGTAAAGTGATAAATACAATGTTTCAAAATATACAATACCATGACTGTTGTAGCTGCTTCATTGTACATATAACTCTAAACATGTGGTAGCACTCATGATACTTGGACATACTGGAGATGAAATACTTACTCCGTAGAACAAATTCGGCCACCAGGACCCCTCCCGTCTGCTCCTTCTGCTGCCTCCGCTTGCTGCAGGTCTGATAGTGATATAATGGAGATAGTCACAGTCTATAAGGGTTAGTTGGGGTCATCAGCAGTTTCTCAGCAGTTTTTATTGCATTGACTACAGAAGGATATAGTTTGTAGCCACGTTCGTTATTAGCATGCTGTTTATGCAGATGTAGGTGCAGCAACCATTCTCATAAATGGTACTGTGATTACTCGTTCTGCCACTAGGTGGTAGTGTTATGTGTACTGCTTGTATAATGGAATGTTCCTCCTGGTGGACATACATGGTTATGATGTAATTTCCTGTCTCGGTGTTCCCGTTGTTTCTAATAAAACAAGAAGGGCCCAGCCAAGTGTCCAGCCCAATCTTGAGTGGTAAGAGTCATATCTGCAGCAGCTTTCCAACATTTATATATAAGGTTTGAATAAAAATTGACATGTAACGCCAGGACTGCCACCGATTTAAGGTGGAAGATATATTGTTGGCCAAAATCAGTGACACCCAATAACTGATAGGTAGTGATATGCATTTGGCCGGGGCCTCATTGAACACAACCTACAAGTGTCAAATATACAAAATAAAACTTACCACCGGACAGGAGAACTTTTCGCTGTCGCACAGGAAGGTCTCGCAGTGAAGCCAGACCTTGGACAGTTTGGGGATGTTCTGAAAGCGGAAGGCGTTAAACTGGAAGGTGGCCCGGCTGTTCTTCCCGTTTTCATGCACCAGAACTGTTTCATCCGAGGCGCACCTGGCACCAGAGAAAGACATTAATACAAAAAGGGTAAAATGCGCCCAGATTGGAGGAACCGCCCACTGCGACTTAATGCATGGCGGGCTGCGATGCGCAATGCCCATGCAAGCCCTGTTTCGCCGGTTTACATTGAAGATGCTTACCCTTTACTGATGAGCTGCCACTGAACGTGGTAGGCGTAATCAGGAGACGGAGTGGCCCAGCAATAGTTTAGAACCACCTTGAACCTGCAAAATCCACAGAGAACAGGGGCGTCACTACAAATCATGCGGCTCCATAGCAAAATTTTGATGGGGCCCTCCTCTAACTCAACTGGCAGTGCCAACTAGGAATGTGCTTAGACCTGAATTTGGCATGATCGGCATTTGCCAGAGTGCCAAACAAAGTTGGCAGTTCACTGTGGCAGAACATCATCCATCAGGTAGTGGTACATATAGCAGCAGTATTACTACCGCTATATATATGTGAGAGCTTCCCGCTAAGGGGCCACTGTTTGCTAGGTAGCTGGCAGCCACTGGCGTCCTAGCAATCGGTGGTGCACCCTGGCCCCATTCTGCTGCCAGCCAGGGTGGAAATGGGGCGGGATGGGCGTGACACCATTTTTTCTGATTCATTGAAGCTGGTGACCCCATGGTCATATTTGGTCAATGACGTCATCAGCGTCCCCGGTCCCATTCAGTTGTTAAATATACACAATGGGGGCGGGAATGCTGGTGACATCATTGACCATGTATGGTCAGGTTTTCCCTTTTTTGTCTTGCTGAAGTCATCACGTACAATGCACATGACATGGACGCTGGTCCTGCATTGTATGTTATGATGTAGGAGTGCCTGCCCTCATTCCGCCACTGGAGAGAAGAGGACCAGACCATGTATTATCTCAACCCCTAGATAAGATAAGCAATAGATCTTTTATCAGATGGGGGGGGGTCATATTTAATGATTTTGTTACTGCCTAAAGTTCAGCTTTGAGACTAACATAATAATATTAATATATATTTTTTTTAGATAAACATTTTTAGCCTGCCTTTGACATGTCACACAGGGATGGCGATGGGTGGCTACACATTTCGAGGTATGCCCTCTTTATCAAGCTCTTACTCCCTTCACAGCTCCCATCGCTCCCGCAGCATCTCAATCATCCTTGACATTCTGTCCTGTCACGCAGTGAGGTTATAGGACACGAAGTAACCCTTAGCCGTTTGCGGCACTTCTCCCTCCTCCAACCGCCGCGGCTCAGCCTGGCCAGCTGAGTTCGTGTGCATGTGGAATACTCGACCTGGGGTTGGGACCTGCAGCCTACCACCCCCCACACTTGGTCCTCCCA